GTCATCTTCTACCCGCATGGTCTTACTGAGTTTTGGAGGTTAAGGTTCCTGGAATGTTTGTGGTGGGCTACATATATTTCCACCTCTATTCTGGCTTTTCATCTTTCTATTGTAAGGCTTGATCCGGGATTGTAAGAAGTGAAGCACTACTGTTGTCTCCTACAGCGAATCAATTTTCGCCCTACTCCCTGGGTGCAAGGTTTCGGTCGACGCTTCACAATAAATTGGGCCAGACCGTAGACTGATCTGCTTGAAGCAGGATCTTTCGGGAATTCTCCGACCGCCATTATCGCGTTATTCACAGGATGGTGCTGTACTTATAAAAATTAACCTTGATACCCAAGGACTTCCCTGTAAAACAAACGCTGTGGGTGGAGAACCTCAAGCAAGCACTGTCCGTCAGCCTGGACCAATGGAAAGTGGCATTCACTCTTACAGTTCTTCGTTCAATTAACGGAAATCTAAATCGCTGCGACCAAGTCGTGGATCGAGTAGCAGATTGGGGACTGAGAATTCATCAACTCCCCATTCGTTTCATGAACGTTTTAGCATTATAGTCCGAACTCCTTATCTTCGACCGGCATTAGGTAGTTGAAAGAAGTTTTTTTCTATCTACTCCCTGCGAGTTCAAGTGAAGTGTCAATTCCATGGTCCGGCCGCAATAACATCAACTTAGTGTTCGAGGACTTTATGCAACCAGGAGAAAAAACTAGGGTTGGCAGATAGCCAGGCAACAACTAAGGTCGCTAGACTGAATCAGGAATCCTCCCATTATCCTCCAGAATGTACAACAGACTCATCATTGAGTTTGGCTTGCAGGTTACCAGCGATATACTGGGACATAACCAACGGATTCACATAATACTGGTATTTGGTAAACAGACGTCTTTCACACTGAGTGAAAACAACGTTACCAGCCTCAGCCCCACAGACTGTTACCTTCGAACAGGTCTGAGCAACCATAGCGTAAAATGCCCCTGCTTTGCACAAACCGATCGATATTTTCAATTTTAAACAGTAGCTACGACAAACACACATCGAACAGCGAGAGAGACCTACATTTCAAAGAGCTAAAGGTGAGGGACCTAGATCAATGAGAATACCAGGAATTCTTGTCTCAGGCTGCAATTAGTACGATCGCTGGGTTATCAGGAATGTGTTTAAACTCAGGAGCGATCAGCGATGTGGTGTGCTGCACTACACATCAAACAACCAACACCCTAAACGTTGGTAAACTCACTCTCTGATAACAGTTACTGTGTGTATGTTTGTGACTGCAATGGATCGATCGCTTCAAATTTGAATTGTTGAGTCGCTGGATGGTAAAAGCTATTCAAATGAAAACAATGTGAACGCAACTCAAAAAGGTCACATCAGCGGAATGCTGGTGTCGGAAAAAACGAGTTATGGTATTTGCTGTTTGCTGGCATTCCGACGTGGTGAGTTAGAGGTATTTTAACCTAACAGAGAACGAACATCAATGAAAAGTTCGAATCGTGTCGGCAGGTATGGCATCTTTTCCACAAGAAAACTAAGCAAAATGGGATGGAGCACTTAACTACAGCTGGAAAGACCGTACTGGCACGGTTGCCTAAAGGAGGGCAGAGATAACCTCATTCATGTACGTTCAGCTGCACACACGACTCTTCAAAACACACGTTATTTCGTTTAGGAATAATACAATGGCAAAAGGGACAAAATGTTCTGGCAAACAAACTCTCAAACCAAGTCACCAGAGACCTGGAACCTCCTTATATGGCAATCATACGGAAAATAGCCAGAAACAAGGATTTTGCCACTACTAATACTGCGAGAAAAGTTGACACTCCGGCCGGCGAATTGAGGGACCCATTCAAACTTTTTCTATGGGTTTCTGGTTATTCTCTCAACACGCACTGAGGTGAGACTTCGACAAGTACAGATTGCTCATAAATATAGATCAACTTCGGAATGTTCAATTGGTAGCTGGTTAATCGTTAGGTGACTGGACAGCTACAAACAGCCTCATGCAATGCGGTTGCTTCGGAAATACTTTTTCATCTTTATGGTAAATGAAATTTGGGATGACGACTGATCATTCTTATGTAAACCCAACTTGCTGCCCAACCCAAAGTCCTCCCATCATTATTATCTTCATTTCCAGAATTCAGTTCAATCAAACAATAATCTGGAGTAAACAGAGGATAGCTATTTGAGGAGGGATCCTACCAGACAGGGTGACAGACAGCTCGGGTCAGCTAGAGTCCCCTTGGTACATGTGCTGCTCACTGCAATCCATCAGAATCCATGTATGGCCGCTGGCCTCACGGAGGCACTGACGGCCAACAAACTTAAATTCTCCAATATACCATTCATACGAACACAACTGACGATCATTCCTACCATTCAATAAACAACAACAGCTGATAAGACAAATCCTAATCTGTGGCTTTTGTGCCAATATGAGCTTGTATTTTAGCAAACACAAGTAGTGAGTTACACACATGCTGTCCGTGTAAGCTATACAGATTGAAAGTGCGGAACGCTACAGTTTCTAAAAAGAGATCGTTATCGTTGTCTGAACAGAAAAAAAATTTCAAGAAATGAAACACATCTACTCCTACGTTGGGTGGTGGAGTCCAGATGATACCGTGAGCTATCTATTCTACCATCTACATCAAACAACAATAAAATGCGGCAGCAAGAGTAACAATAGCAGCTCATAGAATTCGATTTCGAACCAAACCCTATGGATATAGGTATGGTATATTGATGGTTCGAGATAACTCGGTGGTTAAGGCGCGAACTTACTGACCAGAAGGTCCGTGTTTTGAGCCCAGCCTCAACACTTCGACTACTCCTGCATAAGCTTGGACAACCTGGCAGAATCTCAGTCCCCTTTCCTACTTCGGGGGGGGGGGCACGGCAGGTAGGCATCGAAAGGACGCTACAGTTGATCAATTGGTCTTATTATTTGTTTTTTATTCACTGATGGCTGACTATCGCTGTGGTTTATTACCTTTTGTGAACTTAACTTGCGTTAACAAACCTCCCTCAAAGTGGGAAACCTCTCATCCCTGAACTGCACTGTGATGGGTATAATACCTCTGGTTTTTGAAGAAATGGTCGACCATCTTGGTTTGCGCGCCAAGAATGACTGCTGAGAAGATACCGTTTTCTTTACAATATCCTGGCAATATATATATATATATATATATATATATATATATATAATATGTCATCATCATCATCATCATCATCATCATCATCATCATAGACAGCAGGACATCAGTGTTCAACACCGATGCTTCACTGCCGTGCAACTATTATTTATTTGAAAGCCTTATTGTAAAGAAAAGAGTAAAGGTGGACGGGGGAGGGACTTAGGGCTAGCTGACCACAATCACTCCAGACATTCACTCAGGCGATCTGGATAGAAACTGACAACAAGAACGCCACTGACATCGGTCAGCAGCCATATCTTGTAGTGTCTCCAACCAGGCACAGTGAGGATGACATATTAACATAACAGATTTGAAGGGATACCACCGGGGTGTATAAGTTCCAATGCCAGTCAACCTATGAATAAACAAGAATATCCAGCTTTTGCAGTGGCAGTGTAAAGTGAGATTTCGTCCTGTAGGTGAAGCCAATCTTTGCCAAAAGGCCGAGGTGTTATACAGGTGTTTCATCCTTACTGGGAACCATCAACAGTGTGCATATCAAGAAACTCCAGAGAGGCCTCGAAGCCGCAACCACCTGACAACGAGCGGCAGATAAGCGGTGTGATCAACTCGCACCTACATGAAATAGTTTTTTTCTTCAGTATTTCCTTATGACAAAAGTTATGAATTTGGAAGACTGAATGACCTAAACTCTTTGAGGGCCCAAAAGACAGGAAGAAAATTGGTGACCATTCCGAGAAAAATACCAATGCCATGTGACCACAAAGACTAATCAGTTAGCTGCAGCTCCAAAGCTCAACGCTGCTAAGTGGTATCGGGCTTCCGCATTAGGCTTGTGCGAGTAAACGTTGTTTTGAGTCCAGACCCATTTGCCAAGACTGCACAGGTAGTGATACTTGACGAGGCAACAAGGCACTCAGGATGATCTGAAATACTCACTGAAACAGAATCGTGCAATACGCGTGAGAAACCAAAGGGTGGAACATACCTGACGCTATACTGCGCTGTTCTTCTAAACACCACTGAATCATCAAAAACGATACTACAAATTACCGGCAGATCCATTGGGTGCATTTATTGATTCCCTGGTCATAAACGAATGGTAATTGATCGTTACGGAGGAACTGATAGGTTACTAGTCATGTGTCTGTAAGTCAACCGGTTGACAGGTAGTCCTGAGATCAACATCCTAAGTCTGTTAACCAACGGGACAAGTGATTGACTCACCTATGCTCATTTGATGGGCCCAGCTCTCAATCAGTCGAGTTTTACAGGACCCAACCGCAATTTGAAAAGCTTACCACTGCCTCATGACATTTTCTCAAGACGGCATGATATTATCTTATGGGTACAAACTTCTGCATCAAACCGGCTATGAAATCGAAAAATGACAAAAAAAAACAAAACCACCACCATCAAAATGCCGTAAGAGTCTGGTATCGGCACAAAACACAGTTAATCCACTAAAATGGCACACAGGAAGGGCCTGTGTGCAGTAAGATGACTCCAAACAGTGCCATGATAAGATTCTCCAGACACAGAGGAAACTGGGAAGGCATACAGCTACAACAGTAGATCCACTTAGCGCTAGAGCACCTGAGTTACACAGTACTGGTGGAAAATCAATAATTTTTAGCGCCGAAAGTGTTCAAACTGGATGAGATGTGTCGTGCCTGAAAATATGTGATGTTAGATAACCGTACAGAAACATAACACATAAAGTCTCTAGTAGAGACTGAGGACAGGAAATGGAAATTGAATGAAAAGGATATTGACGGAGGAATGACCGAGAACGTAGACAAAAGAAAACACGGGCACTCGTGAAGGGAAACTTACGTGGGGGATTAAGTGTAGAAACGCATCTCCTGTAAGAGAGCCTACGGAGAGGGCGATGAGGAATTGGGATATCACATTGAAGAATCTGCGAGGCATCAACGGAATCAGGGCCACCACGATTAGACCGGAAATGCTGATAACGAGGACTGAGACTGTACTGCCGACAATGGCTGGACAAGACCACAGAGTGGAAAGAGGATATAAAGAAGTAAGATAACTCGAACTAGCACCAGCTGTGGACATGTGAACTCCTGGCAAACAAAGGCATAAAATGACCTGAATTGTTCGCTGAACTGTAAGAACAGATAACTGAGCTCTTCCATCGACTTAAATGACATATATCCCCGTTAGCGCGGTCGTATCCTAAGGAGCCACACAAAGGCCTACCGAGTAAAAATATCCACCACTAACCTTTATCAATAGAGCACTTCAAGTGTGAATGGCGTAATCGCTCACATAAATACATCCGTCATGATCTACACTATCTGCTACCTTATTTCTTACAAGCAAATGAAAAATGCAACGATAAAAGACAAAAACCACAGGTGTTTACGTACTCATTGTCCGAGTCAACGCATATATAACTAAATCAGATCAGTAATTCAGTGCGGTTCGTTAAAAAGAAACCGGAATCTATAGAAGGCAACAGATTACAGATAGAGTGACAGACGCAAAAAGAACAAAGTGCTGTCAAATTATATTGAGCTTTCTGGAGCTTGCTTGTCGCCCTTGTGAAAAACTTACCAATGACACAGCTGTGAACAGGCAGTAAAATATGGTAAACTCAAGTAAAAACTAAAAAAAACCGTACCTTTCCAATCGAGGGCGCGGCTGTGACCGTGTTCTGAGTGCTCATGATGACAAGCATGAGTGTGCAGTTCATAGACCACGGTCGGAAGCAGCTCACCAAATTGTTGTTTGGTCAGTGTTTGGGAGTTGGGGAAAAATTCGATCATTTGCTCTGCAGAGTAGCACTGACAATCAGATAGAAGAGGACACAATTTGATTGTTAGGCGCTTTCAGAATTCCTCGTACAACATGTTTGCAGCGATAAGTTTCAATAGGAAGCATCGTCAACAGAACATCCTTGTGGCACCCCTATTCACCCCGAGCACTGAGACAAGAATGCTGATCAAAACAGACACCCAAAGCACTTGCACCTATGCACAGATCTTAACCCAACCGGAATGAACAAACTTGTGGAGAGCTATCTCAACCTTATTGGGGGTCACTAAAACTGCGTGTGCTTGGGCCTGAATCACGGAACGATAATTACTCCGCACACAGACGTTCAGCCTATTGAGTTGCAACGGTGCGGCGGTTGCGTGTCAAAAGGGTAATCGAAATTTGACTTCACTTTGGCACTTTTTTATTATACGGATGGCTTGCGTGCGAACCAGCACCAATCATGTCCCGTGTAGCGGTTTGAAAAGTAACTGCACCAAATCAAATAAATTTTAAAATAGCTACATTTGTAAACTGAGGATAAACTATCCAGATTATTAGTGGAGAAATCTAGGTGTCGAAATCATCTGGCGTCTAATTATTGTGCAGCAAATTTAATGTATTGTTGCTCAAAACGTCTTCACGATTTCAGGAATGAACTTGAACCAAAGGGCTGTCAGTCAGAAACTCATATCCTATCTTGCGCATCATTTCGAGTGCAACGCCCAAACCAAAAAGGTAGGTATATTTAACACTTCCCAGAGGTGTTCGCACAATTAGTCGTAGTTGTTGGGGCACATTGTTTTGGGCCCGCTGCACAAATGACGGAATCTGGGAACTCTGAAAGGCGACCACGTCTCAGTGTGTGGAAAGTTAAGATCCGCAGTATGTATTTCACCAGCTCATCTAAGACGAGCGCTAGCCACTGCGCAGTGGGTAAGCACTCTTCTGTTCAGACCGCGAGCTGCTTCTTGAAGCATATTTTGCTCAAAACGTCTTAGGATGTCGGCCCCTCAAGGTGATCCCACCGGAGAGTGAAAACAGCATCACAATTTTTTAAGAGTGAATCTGTGTTGTTGTACATTGCCCACACGAAATGACGCGCAAATTACAACCAGTTCCCCAACAGAGACGAATGTAGCCGTTTTTCTCGAGGTTTATATATATCTCAAAAGGTGGATCTATATATTAGCCTCCGCATTTTATCTGGACTTTCTTAGGTAGATTTAGTCTGGGTGCGGGAAAAACGTGACAGCCAGACCGAACCATGGGAACCGTTCACTGAGCACCATCGTTTGCATTCAACCAGTGAATCAACACTTCAAAAAGCCCTGATTAGTTAACATCACAAGACTGTTTCCAAACTTTCCTGAAGCATGTATCATCGTTTCACCACAATGATCCTTTCTATTAGCCTGACAACAGAAGCAGATTACAAAAAAGCTGTGCACCACACAGAGTGTACCTAATTGGAGTTTCTGGCGTATCTGTAGGCTCAAAATCGTTTCACTGGGCAATGAAGCGCGTTTTGTTCGAGTTTTCTTATGGCCATTTCCCTAAATTCAATATTCCTCCTCCTTTCCGTATCGGATCCACTTCATTTCAAATGTTTTTTAAGCTAATTACGTCGTCCATGCATGCGTAATTCATGCTGTGGACATAATTCTCGCATTTCACGTTCACTGATCAGTAACGGGATTTGTAGATTTCCAATAAGACCACCTATGCGTCAAAGCAGACAAACGTCGAAGGCGGACGGTGTAAGGGAGAGATGAGACAGAAGTCCGTACTTTCTGCAAAGACACCTTCACCTTTGCATTCTACGAAGCGCATACACCAACTACTAACATCGGATCATGTGAGCACAATGACATTGATTTAACGCACAATGGATGGAATCCCATAACATATGTAAAGATGCATTGAACAATCAAGTTCGTGCAATATTACCTTAAATTTTCGAATGAATGTGCCCTATGTACACTTCACTGTCACGTACGGGCAATTGTGACTAGTGATATGCAGGAGGTCAGCCGATTCAAGCACAGGATTGTCGAGGTAAATTGTAATAGGTAGGTATGAAGTAGTTGACCCACTTCGAACCACTCTCCGTGAGCACGTAAAGATGACAAATCACACCCGAAACGGAGCAGATGAATTGATAGAGAAGTTGACTGACTGACGCATTCCAGGGGGTCTGGTCTAAGGTCATTGATACCCAAAACTATTCAAGTTTATTTTGAAGAGAAGAGTTTTGTCGGCAATCACGTGTGAATTTTAACAATTCGTAAGGTCCCTTGAGTCCAGAGATGGGATCACCATTCATAAGATTGCTGAAAACTGCTACTGTTTTATGTTATTCATTCAACTTCTGAAAAATAATACTCGGTGGTTATGATATAAATAACAGGAATGTTGAACTGTACAAAGGACGCGAAGTGTTATTTAGACATCTCGTCGGTGGCTATTTCTGAGAAATCGATAATGGGGGACATCGGGGCACGACAGTCTAAATAAGACAAATTATCGCTTCTGCGCCACGGGGAAAACCAGTCTTCCCCAAGTGAGACCCTACTGGAAGCATGAGAGCTGCGACCTTGCCAAGCTACCCAGGTCTAGACGCGGATGGCATCAATCCAAGCAAACGCCTAGCGTTGGTTCGCCTCATGGTTCCTTAGTCATACTGAGCTCAAAAAGGCAGTTAAACCGGACTATTACCTGGCTATAGCAAAAGGTCTAAGACCCATTTCCGCCAGGCTTTTCCGTGGCATTTGTTTAGCTCTAAGTAACCTGACGTTGTATGGAATCCAATATTTTCTAAGGGACGAATGGGGAGAACAGTAAGAGAATACTACAGTCAAACAAGTTTGCCAGATGTTCACTGAACTCAGAAAGCAACAGCAATTATGCAACCATCCTTTGGTGGTCACTAAACACCGAAGCGTATCGTAGCTTGTTTGCATGCGCATGGCATAAAAATAACTAAACTATGAGAGAGCTACTGTCAACTTTGGTTGGGACCGATTAAGGAATACATGAATCACAGCATTTCACGGCAAATTTTCTCTTTGTTGTTTAGGGATATCCATCCATAACAGGGCTATACATCAGACGATGACGGCTGTCAGTAAGAGGATTCAACTATATTTTATCTCGGACCGCTTCGAGGAGGAATAGGTGGATAAAACTTCTCAACGCGCAGGGTGTTAGATACGTAGCCCCTGAAAATCAGGTCAGACCCACGCTTCAGTTCATTTATTATATTATGACCAGTTATGAAACGACGTCAAATATGAAGTACATATATTAGGTGTAAAATGAATCCAGATGATGAAACACCGCAAAAGGAAATGACTTTTTGGTCATGCACGGCGCACAAGAGCTCCTCTGCAAGGGCAATGCAGATAACTGCGACGAACTCAGTGGTGAGTGAATGAGAAGGACAGTAAGAGGTGTAGAACGATTTAGAGGCGTATAATAAACTACATTTCTCTGATGTTCCATTGCTGTGTTTGAAAGTAGTTCGGTAATCCCAACATTGCACCATTAAAAGTGCGATTCTGTGCTCATTTGGGTTCATGTCCCGATTGATTTGAAGGAAGGAAACGCTTGTTCGATTTTCAACGCATAAAGTGTTGTGCTGAGTCCCATAGTTCTCATAAGCGCCTGGGGGGTTGGTTTGTCTTCATATTGATGCTAGATGCTAGACCATACTAGTTGAAGTCTTTTACTGGGTTTGCGTACATGGCCAAAGTTGGCGGCGTTTCCTTCGGTTTACGGTTACTTCAGTTAGATTGTGTACGTTTGGCATTCCATTCAACATAAAGACGCCCAGTTTAAGAATGTGACGCGTCCCGGAGTTGAAAAAGTAGACCAAGGTCTGGACACATCGTCCGAATCATCTTGAATGCATTGAACAGGTGGAGTATCACAAGTCGACCAGTGCCGTTCGCATAACATATCTCGGGCGGATAGTCTTTGAGAATCATCACATGGTGATGCATAGGAATGCTGCAAAGCCAGCCTAAATTGTAAAACGTCTAACGATCGTGGAAAACACGTCCTGCATTTTGTTGTCCTGGAAACCGTTGCAGACAGTGCATAAAATGCAGAACTGAGTTATGCACTTTCAAAATGTGTTCTTCCATGTCCATATGTAAATGAGCTGTAAAGTCATCCCGTTTGGCGGAATGTTGTATCATTCGCTCCCAGTTCAAGAACACACGTGGTCTTTTCCTGACTTTGTAGAAAGCCGTGATATCTAACAACGTGGAGTGTTAAATGCGTAGGTTGGGCGTTTTCACAGACCTAATAAATATCACATTATACTTTCCACATCCATCCATGACCGCTGGACTCCATAATACCAAGCCGCCGAGAAGTACAGGGTATTTAAATGTTGTGTCTGATATAACTGACATTCGGAATAGAGGAAAGACTAAGAAATGATCCTTAATTCACTCGAATCGGTACTCTATGGTCGGTGCAGAGGAGGGTCCCGTCAATCAAAAAGTGCCATAGCCATTATAACAAAAGGTTTTCAACTTGCAAGCAGTCAACAGGCGTAACAGTTGATGTAGTTATAGGCTTCCGCTCTACAAATCGTTTTTTCCAAACTACTCCTTAAGCCGCACACCAGGGCAGTCATTTTTGTTAGATATGAGTGTCATTTGCGGCCATATTGATAAGACATAACCAACTTCGAGGTTATACATACCCCTCAGGATTTTCCCCCTATTTTCGATACTTTAATGCAGCGGGTCGCAGGGGACGGACGTCCGGACAACGGAGCCCGCTTACTTCAGACGTGTGCCGATCACAGACTGTTCGTTTGCAGTACGGATTTCCGGAACAGCGGAAATCGCCTGACAACGTGGCTCCCACCAACAAACAAGCGCCGAATCCAAATAGACCACATTGTTATCGGTTATCCGTGGCGAAAGTCGATCACCGCCTGCCGCTTATTCTGAAACATCAGCGTGGACTCCTATCAAGCACCTGTACGCTGCTACTTTCCACTGTACTTTTTAGGTGTACACAGTCATTCACAGAGGTGTTAGTTTGACACCTGTTGTGACAAGGCTTCTGGCGTCACTGATTCTTCGCCATCTTACGGTGGTACGCGAAGCCTTGACTCGTGAGAATTAAGCGGGATTTTGACTGGGAAGAGGCTACGTTGACCACATCTTCACACTCCGTCAGGTGTTAGAGCAACGCCACACGTACAGACGACTTACAATCTTGGTATTCCTTAACATTAAGAGTGCGTTTGATTCTGTCGATCAATCAGTGCTGCTAACTAAACTCGTTCAAGAGCGTATGCCCAAGAATTTTGTAAACATAATTCGATTCCTATATTCAAACACTTCTGGGCGGGTGAGAGTGTATGGTGAGCTCCCGAAAGCTTCCCTACATCGACCAGTCGCTATTTCTCCCCATTTCTGCGGTCAAGCGCAGCAGGTTTATGGAACCCATCCTAGAACACGTACTGCATAAACACCTAAACTCTGGTATCTCTTTTACATTCTTCTGCCAAGTCATATGTTGTCCACCAATCCTGATGCAGGTACGGAGAAATACACCCGTCTCGGTAGACGGTGTTTCGGCATACGGAGCACATGGTTGAGCCAGGGCAGTTGATGATGCCGGGTGCTTTCTACGATTGAAATATCTGCCGCACAACCAACTACCCGTTTAATTACCTCACTAGTGGTGCCAAATGATACCATCAACGCTCCTGGAGAACCAGACGAGATGGCTGTGGTTAGAGAGTGAATTTACTGATTGAAAGATCCGTGGTTCAAACCCGACCTCTGCCTAACAGTACCCTAGCCCTCATACTTCCTTTCGGGGGGCAGGGCAGCTAGGCACCAAAAGTATGCTAGAGCCGAACGATAACCTCTGCCTTATTATTCAGTACTTCTGCTTGAAACGTTAGGGGTGAGTTCAGAGACTGCATGTTATGGATCATGGCTTTGCACATTGAAGGTGCCGGGCGCATGCCGAAAGATGGTCGGTTTATTCAGCAATGCTTATGTTGTGCCTTCGTCTTCAAGGATGTGGGTGATGTGAGCTATTACTCCAGATCAACAAGATTCTCACCAGCAACGACGTGAACACCGAGGGCTTCAAGAACTTCCAGCGTTCGCTCCATTATTCAATCGGTGACAAAATTGAACGAGAATGAGGAGAGTAGTCATTCTTGTAGGGAAGCTTCTAGATACTTCACGATACGCCCCCATGCCCAGAAGTATGTGAACACAGGGATCGGATTATGTTCACAAATTTCTGGGGCATACCCTGCTGAGCTAGTGTGGTTAACAGCTCTCGCCGATCAGCAGAATCGAAAGTATCTGGACAAACATACCCATTAATTCTAGGCTCAAAAATATACTATTAATAATAATGAACAGTTCGTTTGTTTTCATGTCATCAGCCACATACATGACGGCTATCTGCGGACTCTAGAGGCTTGAGAATTAGTTCTACTTTATTAACTTCATCGTATACAACTTTCGGGCACCAGTGGCTTTGCACAAGATTACTCAATACTTGGTGTAAGTTTCCTCTAATACAGGACGTTTGGACGTGTCCATTCCGATGGCGACGAAGTCGTTTGAGTATTTATTCTGTCCACGATGTGCGTCCAGTGGTCGATGCTAGCTTTGTATTGGTAAAAAGTGATCGAATCTATGAAGGATGTGTGAAGTGCCGCGACGTGCGATGTAAGAGTCACAAGTTTCTTCATGCGCACACTCCAACAGTTCTTCCGGTCTGAACGCCACAGTATATGCTTTCAGCATTTATAGGCTGTTTGACTGCTGCATGACGAAGACCGCAAAATCAGCTCTAAAGTCCCACAGCGACGTTGTCGTTGAAATTACAGCGACATCGGCTACGAGCTGCGCGTATCTGCTTTCGGAGCTGTAGCAGTACATTTAGACAGCTATATATGGCGTCCTATACACTGTATGTAGTAGCTTGCGATGCACTGTATCGTTGCACGTGTACGGTGACACGAGCATCTGGTTTGCAGGTAAGTTTGGTCCGGTTTCGACCGGAAATCTTGAACTCTGCCACTGCGATGCAGTCTACTTCGCATACAGTCTGCATATAACCAGAGTCCTAGTTATTCTTCACAACTATTACTGATAACCATGATGTCCTTGGGACGCAGAAGGTCGGTTGTTCCGTTTTAACGATCAGTTTGGGTGTGTGGATTGCTCACGTCTGTTATGACGTCATCAGCATCCCGGACTATGCAGTTTAGCGTCCTGAATGTTGTGACACAAGTATGATTGTGTGACAATAAATAATTTAAGGTCACCATCCTCTACGAAGCTGCGAACGCTAATCAACATTGTTCTGGTGTATGCAATTAAAGCATTGGCGGGCCATGTAGAAGGATGCTACAGATCAGCAACTGAAACGTCAAATTTGTCCAATCACATGATCATCAAGTCACCAAATTAATCTTAGCCATTTAGTTTGAGTTGACGAAGTCCCACAAATCCTTCAGATCTCCAAAATAGCAGTCGAGGAGTAACCGTTAATTTTAATTATGTGTTGAGCATGATGTTCTTCGATGTTGGAACAGTTAGTCGACTGCGCAATAGTGCTTACAAAGGTATGGCACTGTCTGTTCCATAGACCGAGCGAGACGAGCGAGTAAAACATCCTGTCTCAAGCCATGCTATGCGCATGGACCCAAAATCGTTATGAAACAAAAGGATCAAGGCCTGAAATCATCAACCGGAGGGAAGATGTCAAGAAGGCAGTTACTCACGTATTATACGATTTACACCATTGTTCCCGAGTCCTAAAGGCGCAAGGGTTGACTCGTCTAAGAATTCTAGCCAGTCGTTTTTTGAGCGCCTGCGCATGATTCTCGAGACTCAGTAGACAACTGTCTCAGCATTGTTTTGGGTTTCAACAATATAAAACTTGTCTACGTTCAAATGACAACGTCCTCCGCTACAAGAAGAAGGCCACATTCTTAATACCTACAAGTGGATGTCCTTTTCCCGGTTGTTGCTTGTTAATACCCAGTGAGGCTACGGTCGATTACTGGGTAACCAAGAGTAAACCGCCACACCTCCTTTCCCGAGCTTTCTATCTACTACTGGAGTTGGGGGGATTTCAGGACAAGTTCATTTACCGAACAAAGGTGTTTCAAATGGAGCTGAATCTATGCGAAAACACGAGTGCGCGCCAGGTGATATCTGTGGTGTGATACAGGTTTACCTTGAGTACTAGCCACTGCAAGGGAGGGCACTTCAGCTGAAAGTTCGCTGTGACGAGGATTAGATTTGAGCAAACCACACTGGACGGTATCGCCGCTCCATCAGTTTGCAGTATATTCATTCTGTCCATGCGGCAGATCAATTCACGAAACGCAAGCCGCCCATAAAATACCGTCGTTATACAAATAATGCGGAATATAATCTTTCTCATCATTCAGTAGGAACGAACAACGTACAATTAACGCGATACACCCTTTCCCAATCCCCACACGACAATAAATTACATTAGGCGGATATTTCATCGCCACGAGTCCAGAGGTACTACGCTCAGAAAATATGCAAGCGGTAGTATCAAACAAAAGCGAAGTAGCAGGTACTCTTCAGATCACACGTTATTAAACTTACATGGGTTTCGATCGTCTCGTTGTGCACGTGCTCTTCGTCATGCGCATGATCAGGAGACGACAAATGCAAGCCGTTTAGAAATTTCTCCAGCTGCTGTTGATCCACAGTGGTGCCATTCGTAATTGACGTGAACAGAGCCGTCAAATGATGCTCTGCTATACTAGTGGATGATGCTGTGCAGAATAAGCCACATGGAATTTTCATCCCGAAAACAGCGTAAACAGCAAAACATATGCAGATGTTCCGAGTAACCATATGATGCCTAGCGTCCCGACACATTGTACTCAATCCCTAGGCAAGGAATTCACACCACAGCCACGACGACCACAACTACGACCGCCAATTAAAATAGCCTTGAAACTTCATACCCAGCGGGTACAACAAGTTCAGTTTAAGTGACCAGAAAACGAGGGCGACTAGATTCAATAAGTCAGTCGAGTATGGTAAAAAAATGGCTCCGTTGGCTCCAGTGAACTCAGCTGGTCATGAATCTCTCTAGTGACATAAGGTATGGTTCACCTTAAAGATGTTAATAATAGCTGCGAAAGAGCATTTGATATCCCGCAAGTAAGAGGACGCTGCCCAGAACCTTACACGCCGGAGCCTAAACTTAACTGTTTCACCAACACATCGACGAACGCTTCTCTGAGTAACAGCAGCTTTATTCGCTCTGACTATTCTGGCTTCATTTGCTCAGTCCCAAGTTGATGAGTGTTACTCGAAAAGTTGCGCATTTTTTTAAGTCCAAATGTCCAGGTATCCTCCACGCAAGAACCAGATGTCTTGGTTAGTGTGGTTTGGGGGCTTTTTCATTTACCCATATCTGAAAAAACTCTGCATTAATTTCTGTATTCTATCTGACTCTTAGAGGTGTAGCTTGTTAATCTTATCAAGTTAAATGCCCGTTGGATTTCTTTGTCCAGATTTGACATGTATTCCACACTAAGGTACGCTAACTTTCAGGTGTTACTCCTTACTTAATTTGTGTATCGACTGCTCCGTACATTAAGCAACATAACCATCAGTGATGTATTTCATCTCACTATAGCATTAGGAAAGGTAGATTTAATGACCGGTGATTAACATAAAAAATGTTCTAAAAGCCCCACGTCAACTTATATATGGCGGCAGGAGATTTTCGAAAAAACAGACCTTGCAGACAAGCAATGCTGCCATTCGTGGTCCAGTCAGCACTCACGGATAGCGCGTGAAGCGGTTTCCGCTTTCAGTGCAAGAGAAACAATGCGCATTCAAACTGTTTTCTTTCGTTTTTAAATACTGACTAACCGTCTGAGCTTCGTTTACTCAGTCCACGTTACAAGATAACCAGGACGACTGAGATCTGGCTTCCGGGTGCTAGGTCACCAAAAACGAAAAAGCCCGAAGATATTTTCCACAAAATCTGTGGATCGGCAATTTAGACACAACCATGGTATCTCAGTTATATTACCTCCATTAAAGACTTGCATTGTGCAATATTAGCTGGGTGCCGTTGCTTTCTAGGCAAACTATGCCATCGCAGCTGGACCGCACCGCTAGCTATTATAAATAACTTGTGACTTCGCCAAGCACCTGGCAAATGCCACCCAGAATAGAGTTATACCCTTTGTTTTCTTGAAATTGTGTCAGTGCTTATTTATTCGAAAAGGCTGCAGTTGGACATTCACCGCCATATATTTATATGCCATTTAAAACCTACTTTTATTTGTTCGAAAAGAATACTCATTAGTTTGCCACCAAATATGGTGTCAACTGAATGGCATTGTGACTTCCGATGTTGCGACGATAGAGCGTACGCCAGCCACTAGTCACATGAAATACAGTCAGCCCGGCAATCCACCCACAAGCGTGGCCGCCGTCAACTGGGCGTTACTTAGCCACAAATATACAGAATAAGATCTATAAGAATGCGTTTTACCCTTCTATCTATTCTACCACCATAGGGAGTCAAAAGACAGGGTTCGGTCTTTCGCGTGTGTAAGACATTGTTAGCAGTAGTCTGGGTGACCCAAACCCTCTGTGATGCGTTCTCTGCTCACCAGCTGCAGTGTGAAACTTTCATCCATTCCCTAATTTTCTGAGTGCGTCTCGTACTCTTTCGGGATTAGTTGTATGTGCTATATTCCGTGCGATCGTATGCAAGATTAACTGTTTTGAATCTGTAACAGTCCATCTATTTATAAGGTATGTTGACGCCTGACCAGGTAACCGTTGTTGTATACATTCTGGACAATTAATATGAGCGAGTAGATTGAGAGCCCTCATTGCGCTACGCTCAGTCGTGGGCTAGATGTGCTTTCCATCAAGTCACCATAATCGCTTGTTCCACTGTTTCTCATGATTTCGCTCAGTTCCAGCGCTGTTTTGTATCCGAGTCTTTGTTGTCGCCAAGGCGTTCGATTGTTGCTCTAATCCTTGTCAATAGCTTACTTTAAGTGTCGGTGAAGCGATTTTATCTATACACCGCTCATAATTCCCTCATATTTTCGAAGACTTTTGTTGGGATATCCTATAATAAGGTTCATGATTCAGCGTATATTTTCTTTTTAGTGCTGACGTGCCTTAATCTTCTAACGTTGAAAATAATATTGGTAGGCAGATTTTAACCGGTATTTTAGACTCGATTCAATTTAAGCACCACTACTAAACAACTATCGTCCTCGGAGCCAGAATACTCATAGAGCGTATTATTAGAACGACAAACCACGGAACAGAATACTTTAGGGAATTACACCAAAAAAATTCCAAGCTAGAGCAGACGGATTGTCTGGAAGAGGCCATCAGATCACCGGTAATTTGATGAGAACAAGGACGATCACGCTCGAGCCTCACATTTTCAACAGTCAAACAGGTCGGAAATGACATTCCGGTCAACAGAATTGTTCACCCTGTTTTCTTAAAACATCTCAACGAAAATTTTGTAAACTAAGGGCACATCCAAGTGGACAAATAATCCGACCACAGCCAGCCCTTTGTGCAGATCAATCTATGCCACTTGGCGTAGAAGTTTATTAATTTAAATTTGCTGAGTTATTTGCCAAGAATATATAGTCTCAAGATGACTACAGGCGCGCCAAACGAAAGGAGGCCTTTGTGATACTAATAGGAGAATGTTGATATTTTATGATCTGAAAAACTGAATCACATGGAATTAGTTCATGGCCGACGAACTTTCACATCTCCTCTTTTGCATGGTGACAATCAGTAACACTCACATCATAAAATGGGAACTGGAATCAGCTGAAAATTGTGGTATGAAGAAATGAGCGGATTTCACAGAGGATAAGCCACAAAAGGCATAGAAAACTTTTACCTTACGTTCTTTATAATTCGCCAGTGATGCGGCTGGCCCAAGCGAAGTGATAGCCTGGGCCGGTATTTTTAGGTGGGCAGGACAGTCTGAACTACGATGGTGGGGCACTGCAAATGATGAGTATCCGCACAGGCCTCAGTCATGGGCCGCATGTCCATTGAGCGAGATTATTGTCTTCGAAGGAATAAGACTGAAGATGGACATGAAGGGCAGTTCCACTGCCATCATCAGACCTGTATGTATGAAATGAAGTAATGCAGGTGGACGCTGAGGGTCGCTGTGTGTACGAAATATTACCGAATAGCACACACCAACCGCAAAAATAGACCGAGAACACACAGATGAATATTCCTGGCCGTTACTCAATTTGTTCCGCACGATAAGGTGCAGGCTGAATTTACTCGAGAACCATAACGGCCACAGAATCTGCATGTTACAAATTATAACGTTCAATGTCATAAATGCAGCTAAAGCAAAAACAGTTTCATGTGCAGGAGGTTGGAATAATATAAGGCAGCCTAGTACAATGGAATTGCACCGGCTAAGACACAATTAAATTTGAGGCGGCAAAGAATTAGCGCAAATGAAACGGCAGTAAATCAAGGGTCCTAAACTGGTGAACAATTTAAGTCTCCCAGAGGCCTGGAAATCGTTGTCACATATGACTATAGAAGGGACGACGTGCCACATGCACGCATGTCGATAATTACCACGCTGAACAAACTAAATAGGAGACACAGAAAACATGGCATTCTCATTTCATTCCCTCAATTTTTGTCGTCAAACATCCATGCGTGCAAACTTTAAGTACCTTCGGGATAATTGAATTGCAGTTACCTGTATTCTGCTTTTTTGAATACCCTCCGAACTAGCTGTGAAGTTTCGGAGTGTGCATATCTACTAATTTTATGAAGAACGTTGTTACTCTTATTCAGTTCTGCAGTTAGATCAAGTGATATTTGTTTATTTTAAATACCGGTGGCTACTACTGAACGCCGGAATATAAAGAAATTATAAATACAACTGGGATCCTGAAAACAATGTTAACCCAACCGACTTTACTGAAGGATACACAAGATCACTAAACCGTCTTGGTGGTACCTCCCACCCCTCCAAGAAACAGAGTAGCGCCAAGTCGAACATATATTACAGTTCAGCGATAAACTTTCCTAATTTTGAATCCCTCTAAATTATTGCACCGCTCATCAGGCATTTGCACCTACCCCTTCAAGGATTAAAACGTTTTATCGCAACGCATAAAAAACATGCGTTGCTGATTACGCATTTCAAGATATGCTTAATCGTTGACTTATTCTCTAGACACTCATTTAGAGAATGATCACCAAATCTAATGACCTGTGGGGACTGACAAGTCTTGTTACTCATCCATTAACATGAACGTGCGGTTAGTGGAGAAGGAGAACCTCGCCTTGATCTATTTATCACAACAATCTTGAACGCACATGAACATCAGCGCAGAACCGTTGTTACGAGCAGACACTACGGCCTCATTTAATGGAGTGAACGTCGCAGCTATGCCACAGTCAGGCAGGTGACGCATCTTGGAGATTTTCTCGGTTAAATTTAGCATTAACGCTGGAAAGGATTCCATCCAGTGACTACCACCTAAGGTGGCGTGCAATATTCTCCCAACGACGGGGTGTATAATTCAGTACATTCTGCAGTACGCTGTTTGTACACTGTCTCTGGTTATCTCGGGAAATCTCGCTGGATCCCCCAAGGCTCAGTATAAACAGCTTTAGCACCACTGTGAATTCCCGGAGGCGTGATTCACCGTATGGACAAATGAAATTTCAAATTGGGGGACCAGTCAACATCAAATGTTTCATTCTCAGGACTAATGCGGCACAGATCAGATCCTCCACTAGTCTCAACAACCGAAGCCGACCTAACCATTGTCAGCGTGTAGGCTAAGATAGAGATTGAAAGTGCATTAAACAAACGAGCGCATCCTTTGGTTGTGCGCCATGCGTTATCGCAGTGGAAGCGCCCCTAAAGAAGGCCAACCAATGA